AGTGCCACAAATGCTTGGAAGTATTATGAATTTTGTTGCATGAACTATATCTTGAACAGTCTGGATGATAATCTTTATGATATTTATCCAGCCTGTAAAAAAACCAAGGAATTATTGGAATCACTAGAGAAATGAATATGAAAGATCTCAAGCATAAGCGCAGAGAGATGAATATGAAAGATCTCATTCTCAAGCTACGAGTGGAAGAGGATCATAGGAAGGGTGACAAAAATGATGTGTCTGCCTTAGAAGCCAATGCCAATATCGTTGAGGAAAAAGCCTTTAAACCAAAGGGTCGATCCAAGAAGAGTAAGGGCAAGAATTTTAACAAGCAAGATGCTGCCCTTGCACTAAAGGCAAAGGATTTCAAGAAGATTAAGGGCTTTTGCTGGGTTTGTGGAAAACTAGGCCATAAAGCACAAGAATGCCGCCACCGAATGGACCATAATCCTACCAATCAAGGCAACAATCATAGGCCAAACAACTAGGCCAATGTGACTGAGGATTTTGTTGCTGTTGTTTCATAAACCAATATGGTTTCGAATGACAAAGATTGGTGGATTGATACAGGTGCTACCAAGCATATTTATGGTGACAGAAATATGTTTTTTGATTACCATCAGATTTTTGGTGGAGAAAAGCCATATATGGGCAATGTCTCTGCTTTTGTAATTCAAGAAAAAGGCAAAGTGGTGGTAAAATTCACTTCTGGAAACCCTGCAAAATGTGCTGCATGTTCCATAAATTAGGAAAAATCTTGTGTCAGGCCCATTGTTAAGTAACAAGGGCTTCAAACTTGTACTTGAGTTTGACAAGTTTGTCCTAACTAAGGGGGGAACGTTTGCAGGAAAAGGCTACTTGGCTGATGATATTTTCCAACTCAATGTATTAGCTTTTAATGCTATTACTGAAATAAATAAGGCTTCTATTTATATTGTTGAGTCATCTAATTTATGACATGCTAGATTAGGACTTGTTAATTTTCATTCTTTACATAGAATTAGGACAATTCTAAAAGTTTAGTATTGATTTCAATAATAAGTGCGAAACATGTACATAATCCAAATTTGCTAGACAAACTTTGAAGTTAGTTTTGGGAAGATCAAATGAATTACTTGGTCTAATTCATAGTGATCTTTGTGACTTTAAGTCTACACCAACTCGTGGAGGGAAGAATTATTAAATCTCCTTCATTGATGATTGCAGTAAGTTTTGCTATGTTTACTTGATTCATAGCAAAGATGAGGCTGTGAATATGTTTAAGACATATATGGCTGAAGTAGAGAACCAACTTGAGAGAAAAATCAAGGTACTTAGATCAGATAGAGGTGGGGAGTATGAATCTCAAGCATTCTCTGACTTTCGTACTACACATGGAATTGTAAATCAAACAATAGCTTCTTACACACCACAACAAAATGGTGTTGTAGAAAGGAAAAATAAAACTTTTAAAGATAGGATTAATTCCATGTTAAATAGCTCAGGGCTTCCACACAACATGTGGAGTGAAGCATTACTTACTGCAAATAGAGTTTTAAATAAAATCTCACATAAGAAGACTAATAAGTCTCCTTATGAAATATGGAAAGAAAGAATACCCACTTATAAGACACTGAAAGTATGGGGTTGTCTAGCAAAAGTACAAGTTCCTTTATCAAAGGTAACTAAACTTGGACCAAAGACTATTGATTGTGTATTCATTGAATATGCGAACAATAGTGCTGCTTATAGATTTCTAGTAATGAAATCTGAAATTCTGGACATACATGTTAACATTATTATTGAATCAGTTAATGTAGAATTCTTTGAGGAAATATATCCTTACGAAGAAAATAAATCTGGTTCAACTATAAAGCGGTCACATGATCAAAGTCATGATGAAGTCTCTTCCTCAAGAGTTCAAGAAATAGATTCTGAACCAAGAAGAGGAACAAGAACAAAAGTATCAAAGAACTTTGGGCCATATTTTCTTACTTTCTTGTCTAAAAGTGAACCACGAACTTATCATGAAGCCATAACTTCACTTGAGGCTCCTTTTCGGAAGGAAGCAATAAAAAGTGAAGTAGAGTCCATTATGCAACATAATACATGGGAATTAGTTGATTTACCTCTTGGTAATAAACCATTGGACGCAAATGGATTTTCAAAAAGAAGCTAAAAGCTGATGGCACCATTGACAAGTATAAGGCACATTTAGTGGCTAAGGGATACCGCCAAAAAGAGGGGTTGGATTATTTCGACACTTATTCTCCAGTTTCACATATTACATCTATTAGGATGCTAATAGCAATTGCAGTTGTTTACAATTTGGATATACACTAAATGGATGTAAAAATCTGAATGGAGAATTATATGAAGAAATATACATATAACAATCTGAGGGGTTTGTGATTCAAGGATAAGAAAGGAAGATGTGTAAGCTTGGGAAGTCATTATATGGACTTAAACAAGCACCAAAACAAGGTGTGTAATATCCATTGATTATGTAAAGTCAAAGGAAAATATAGCAGATCCTTTGACAAAAGGCCTACCAAGAGATCAAACACTGTATGCATCAAGGGGAATGGGAGTCATGCCAATTCAATGAATCAAACCAGGCGGAAACCTAACCTAGTTGATTGGAGATCCCATGGTCTAAGTTCAATAGGCAAACTAGTTGGGGATGATTCAAAGTATTGAACATACATAATGCCCATTTCTATGATACGTGTGTGTTGTCTGTTGATGATTGAGGGTATACTTATGAATTTAATCTTGTTATCAATAGAAATATGACAAACTATTCTCAATTAATGTCACCTATGTAGGAGTAAATGTGGGGTCGCATTTTTGAGAGTTAATATGGCTAAAACTCTCTAAAGCTCATGGGAAAACTGGGATTTGTTCAAGACCAAAATGAACACAAACGTATGAATTGATGTGTGTCAGATTTGATATGTGTGAAATGTATTGTCTCGGTTTACTAATAGGGGTGAACAGTTCAAGTTCATTATATCCATTGCGTCACCAAGTAGACTCGATATATTTTCACTAAGGTAAGTTCAAGTCCAAAAGACACTTCTCCTTATGCATATCATTTCTACTATCTCTGAGGTGATCTAGGCATCATTTGCATTTAAATTTCCATTCAAATGTGGGGTATGTTAGGTGTTTGAATACAAATTTTAACTCAAATGTGGGGTATTGTTGGTTTTTGCAAGGCATTGCAAACATGTTTGAGTTGAAATTAGTCCCACGTTGGAAAACTAGAGTTCCTTAAAGGTCTTTATAAGATTGTCAAATCAACCAGTACTTACGTAGAATATTGATTCATTGATATTCATCCCGTAACAATGGATACAATATAAATGTGTACGAGTCCTTATCAACATAGACATAACTATCTAGGATTTACATAAAATAGGATAGAAACACATGAACTAATTTGAAGTACTTCTTGAAGAATTATCACAATCTGATAATTGTGCCAGCAACAAAGCTTCTAATATTTTTCCCAGGCACAACAATTGTGCCACCTGCCATGTACTTACAAGTTACAATTACCATGATCGTACACTTTCGACAATTGTTCTATTCCCTCAATGGCAAACCCAAAATCTTTATGCTACCACAGCATTGAAATAGTCATCCCCACTAGTGAAACATAAAGAGCTGCATTACCAATCACAATGTTTACTTTTGAATCGAACTTGCTTGGTCGATAATCTACAATCGTCCCTTTTGACTATCATTTACCCAAACTCAAGCCTGATGTCATGGCAGAGGAATGCTGGTATGCTCGGTCTTTCACTTCCACAGAATTTGATATACAAGTTGTCAACAGGAAACACAGACCTATTTTAGCATTTGGTCAGCCCAAGCATTGTCCCAACAGTATGATTACATTGCAAATTGGTGCTTTAAAATATACAGGAAGTGCCTTTTCTTATAGCAACTTTGGAAAGAGAAATTAGTTTGTAGTCAAGACTTATATCCGTGTGCTATAAGTTTGACTACGAGCTAGTTGTTGCACCAATTAACCAGTGAATACAATTAGGGTATTGTTAAACGAATCTTAAAATTAATTGAATACACCCTATTACCAAACTATTTATTGAATTTCTAATTTACCATAATATAAAATGACCAAAATGGATATATTAAATTGTGAAACAAATGTAATTTTAATAAGTACACCCTACTCATTGAGAAATTTTTATATGTTCCGACTCATCATATTCAACCCTAAATTGAATTGTAAAACCAAAAAAGTTTTGTAACTTTCATGACAGAGTTGCTCATCATCTTCCTTGGCTTCGCCGCATCTGTAAAAAAGCTGACCTTCCCATCAAATACCAAGACCCAGCCTTCACCACCGTAAAACAGAACTATTCATATGACCTACTTGTGGCCCTAGACCAATTGAGTACAAGTATTAACATGTAGGATTTCGTTTGGTTTGCTATGCGTGGGTGGTGTTCTGGAAAAAAACTCAATACTTAAAGGACGTCTGATCAGAGTAAGAGCATCGATAATTCTTGGTTGCATAATTCAAGAACATGGTTAGGCTGACGTTCGTACTATGGTTCAAACTAGTATACTTGATGCTTTCATGCATTCCCGATTTGAAACTAAATGCCTCTGCGTTCTGTTTAATAGCAGATAAAGGAAAGTTGTATATGTGGGTAAACACCAAAGATTCTCAATTAGGAGTTCCTGGGCTTCCAGAGATACAATACAACCGGTTAGGGTGTACAAGGGGTATTTTGGTAGTTAAATAGGGTGTACTTAGTTAATTATATATTTTTAATTTAAATATTAGAGTGTATTTAGATCATACGGTATACTCAGTTAATTTTAGGCTTCTTTAACAACACTCATACAATTAACATGTGTTTTTCATCGTATATGGCTTTGGGGCCCACTTTGTCAAAATTAGGGTTTAGGAAGTGCAATCATCTTATTCTTTCCTCTTTTTTTAGATAAATATAAAATAAAATAAAAATAGATTAGTGCAGATAAAAATGGAAGAAAACCAATCTTTATTAGTACGTATGTATGTGTATGCACAACAGCACAAAAATACAAATATTATTTTTCATATTTTAACCAAACGTTTGTTTATTCATACAGGACAAATTAAAGAAGGTATGAAACAGAGCACACATTAGGGTTCATAATTTTTCCCAAATATTATATGATATGAATCATTTCCCCCGATCACCATCTGAGCTTTTCTGGGAAGTACTTGTCAATAAGAGATAAATAGTAAGGCTTTACTTTCTCAACATCAATTCGAACTTTGCTCTTGCTATAGAGGTCATATTTGTTGAATATTTGAAGCCACTTCAAATTCTCTTCATCCTCCTTGTTCATTAGGTGTTCATATGCCCCAGATTTGTGCAGAGGATAAAAAGAGTGATACCTAATGATGAACAATCCAGCCTGAGGCAAAGTGCTTCCATTTTCCTTGGCCACCAAGTACATGTAGTCATCATGACCCCATGACATCATCACATTTTCAAGTCCACATCCATGGGAGTAAATTCCGTACTTGGAATTATATGAAGGGTTGTTGTGGTCTGGATTTTCCTTGAAGTACTTGTGGTGAACAATGGCCTCATCAAAAGCACACCCAAGAGGATGCGTGTCTCCAACCACAGCCCATTGAGGAAGCCCTCCAAACTTAGGAAGCAGAAGCACTTTTCCAAGGTCATGAATAAGAGCAGTCAAGTGCAGCCAATCTTCATTGGGATAGTCTTTTCTAACTGCTTCTGCTGTTTGCAACAAGTGCTCAATCTGTGGTTCGTCCAAATCAGGGTCACTGTCATCCACAACTTCATTCAGGAGCTCACAACATTCCCATATGCTCATTTCCACTCTATTCAACTTGCTATACTCCTCTCTCATCTTCTTCACAAAATCGTACGTTTGGTTAATGTGGTTCAGCCGGTAGAATTCCTCCACGCTTTTCTGCCTTTCACTTTCTGCATTATAGTCCCTGCAATCAATTCATTTTCATACCATGCATGCCCGCACTTTAGTTCATATTGTTCACTGAAAGAAACAAACACATCTAGCCAGCTCGAATTTGTTCACCAAATAATGTGTCTCATTATTTGAACATTTGAACGAATGAAATAACAGTCGCATCATTTGGTTGATAAATTTAGTGTACAAATTTCTTGAGTGTACCTAATATAGTGGTTACATAAAAATGTGGACAAAAGCATATAATAAAGCAAACCTGAATGACTGCCCAAATGAATTAATTTCCGGGGCAATGAACTCGTCGCTTGCTGGTGTCACAGCCATTTGTACGAAATCACCGTGCTTCTATATGACTCAAAATGAAACGAATTGAAAAAGAAGGAGAGAAGAAATTAAGTTGGCGCCCATCAATGGTAAAACATGTTAGGTTTTTATAGTCCCATAAAAAAAGTCCTTGTGTGGATAATTATAAGAGCATTAGAGTCCTTAACTGAAAATATTATCTGTCTTAAACCATTTTATCCGACTAATCCGAATGAAACGCTCAAATACAAGGGAAGCAATTGATAAGGCTGCCCATATTTGGAAATTTTAGCCTCTCGATATGGCTTGAAATAAAATTCTTCCAACTGAAGATCTATGTTTTTTTACTATTTTTCACTGACGATTGATACCAACGGCTTATTTGTCACCCTCTAAATTGAACAGCCTTCCATAACCATTAAAATTGTCAATGCAGTTTAACATTAATCTCTCTAATGTTGTTTTTTTTTTTCTGTTACTTCTACGGTTTGTTTATTTTAGTGTTTCTTATCAATGAGAGAGGAGACATATTCGAATTTGAGACGTCTTATAACATGTTATGTGCACAGGATGCTCTTTAAGCGAAGTGTTATATATACTCAAGTGCTATAACAGGAATATAAATTATCAACAAATTACACTCATAAATATTGTAAAATAAAGTCTTCATTCAAAATCACATTGATTTGGGGCCTTTTAGCTATATGGTGGTTGTGGAAATAATCGTACCTCAATTTGATGAGTTCTTTACCGCACTGGAAATCCACATGTAGACCGTATAATTAAAACCAGCCACCCAAATAATGTTGCATATTGCCAATGAGATTTAGTCTAATGAAAATGGTATTGATTTGTAGATCAGTAATCTCAAGTTCAAAGCCCCATTGCACATTGGGGAGACTTTGGAAAAACTCAAAGGAGAGAGAAATTTTGTAAAAGAAGCCAAAATTGACAAATTTGCCCTTATTTATTTTTGGATTTCCTAAGAAATCATTTACACTTGCATGTCTTTGATTTGAAAGTTGAGAGGTTTTTCTGTCTTTTTTGAAAAAGTTTTGGCTTTTTCCAAAAGTGAAATTTTTTTTATAGCTAAAACCTAAATTTACTTAATAATAATAAATAATAATGTTGCATTTTTTACACTTCAATAATATAATCCTGAAAGCTAGCTGCAATTTTTATTATAGTTGCAACAACAATATTGATGCCTACACTAGAAGGTCAAACCGTATATGTTGTAGGAGACGAGTTTGGTTGGAATATACCTCGAAATCATTGCAGATCCTCGGAATTTTACAGTCGTTGGACTTCACATTATAATTTTTTTGTTGGAGACATAGGTAAACTTCACTCTTTAGCTATATATTATGCAACAACAACAAAATTGGTTGAAGCAATGACTAAAAAAAAGGGGAACTTATAAATAAACTCAAAATGGGTGAAGTATTTATAAAGAAGGATAAAATTAAAGTGTTTGGACAATAATGCCTTTATTCATTTTTGGATTGCCTAAGAAATCCTTTTTTTCTTTTCAGATGATGCCAAAGGATTGTTGCTTGATGCTTGACGTATGGAGTTAAAAATTTGCTTTGATAGTTTTTGGATTGATGTTGCATCTGCTACCATGTTGCTGGGATGATCTCTTCACGTAAAAATGAGGTTGATGATGTTTGGCTTCACATGGTCTTCTTGTGTTTGCTGCTATGGTTTTATCATGCTTCCATCATCTTGTCTATATTGTGTAGCTCTTCTTCTCCTAAGCTATTTCAGTATGAGTTGTCATTGTCTTCTGGTTCAATCTGTGCTGCTATCTGGCTATAGATTTCATCAAAAAAATTTGCTCATGTTGTGCTTATCCTGAATTTATATGTCATCTGGTCTCCTGGATGTAGACTATGAATAAATCTTGACAAAGTTGGATTGGTGAAGGAGGGTCAGACAATCATCATTGAACTTATTGCTCCTCTATATTTTTGAATGTCCTGCTTGGTAGAGATCCTTGTCTTTACTGATTCTGCCAGACTAAGTAGTTCATTATAAGAAATAATAATACTATGTTGTGCTTTATCTGGGTAAATACTATCCTCAAACCATTATGGGGATATGCTGGTGAAATCTAATTTTATGCTCTTCCAAAGAGGAATATAGAAACTTATGACTTCTTTTAATTTTGAGGAAAATGAATCTAAATGATCACTATTTTCAATATAAAGTTAACCTAAATAACCATATTCTGCTAAAAATGCTAGAGTAACTGTGATAGTTTTTTGTTGATGCTCTAAATGCAGTTCTATATATTCAACCATATTAATACTAGCTAAGTAAATAGTATAATGAGAATAGCTTTTGGTAATAATTTTTATACCAGGATGTGTATTATTTTTTAAATTAAAAAGAAAAGCTTGAATGTATAGTTGAAGAGATGTATTTTGCTCATACTCTAATCTAATCATATGACTCTTAACATCATGTGGTAAAAATCTATACCTTTCTCTAGCTAGAGTTTGAAGAAAATATGGATTTTTAGTTTTTTGCTCAAGGAAAAATTCTCTATTACGCTCAAGTAAGTTGAGCTCATTAGCCTCTTTTTCTTGTAAACCCGTACTTAAATTTTGACATCTTAAATTAATGATTCTAGGAATCAGGGAAGTAATGAATATTCCTCCTTACAAATACATTGAATCTAGTTATGAGATTTTACGGTTATTCTATATATGGTACATAGTAGGAATGGAGGAAATAAAGAATTGGAGAATCTAGGAATCGGGGAAGTAATGAATAGGTATGAGAAATTTGTAAGGAGGAATATTCGATAAGGAAGGTAATGCTTTTGCACTTATTAACAACCAAGAAACAAGAGAAAAGAAAGTTAGGTTGAATGCAAAGAAATGTTAAGGAGGACTTGAATGGACTCATAAAATAAACGAGTGGTTTGACCAAATTCAGGAGAGCCATCAACTTGTAGGCCATTTCGAATAGAAACATAGAAACACTTACTGCTCATATTATTAGACAACATTAATGTGTGTTTTTGCGTTGTGTGCTGTGAAGTATAAAGTTGAATTGTGTACAAATATAAATATTTTTTTTTCTAGGGTTTGTTGTGTTTTGGAATTATCGTAAAGTGGTAAGTGTATTTTTTTTTACATTTATTATTTATGTACTTTTTATAGAGAAAACTCATTTATTTTATACCAGCGATATTGAAAAAAGGGCCGAATCAATACAGAACACCGGGTGAATTCTCTTTAACCACTTAACTTTAAGTCCCACAAATTAGGTATTCTATTATTGAAATTCAATTGGATGTAAAGCATGCTTTTAGAGTCTCAAAGTATAACCACTGTGAAATATTTTCATGAACCTATTACTCTAGTGATACTTCTCTTCACTAATTATTGATATCACAGTGTTTCTCTTCGTATTATAAGAGTAAAGATGAACTAAAAAAGAAACACTTTAAAATCCCCCATTGGTATATATAATAATAATAATAATAATAATAACCAGAATTTTGGCATTTGTAAGCACAGCTCAAATTATTGAAAAAATAAATAAATAAACAGAAATTGGTTTGTGCATCAAAAGAAACAAGATTACATGTAAGAGTTTAGGTCCAAAACACTTCAGCCCATCTCATGGCCCAGCATTGCAGCCAGTACCAGAAGTAACTCACCCAACCCCAAAGCTCCTAAAACCCTGCTTCTCATCCCTCCACTGCCCCTAAAACCCATCATCCCCTTCACTAACAGAGCTCCTCACCCGCTTGTCAGCCACCACCTCCTCCTTCGCGCCTCACCCTCTTAACACTCTGAAGCCAAGTCTTGACCGCCCTTTGCTTTAGTTCTTCTTCCGCTGCTTTGCTCCCGACCACGGTATTTCTTAATTGCCCAATTTTCTTGTTTAGGTTCAATTTATATTTTCTTGTAAATCTGTTTAATTTTTTCATTTTTTTTTTGTCGAGTTGAGAATCGAGCTTGGTGGTTGCAAGGCTCGGGCAATTATTAGCTAAAAATATCATTATCTCTTGTGATGCTGTGTAGGCTAGTGGTCTGTGTTGAGGGTTTATTTGGTTGCTGTGTACTGTTCTTGGTTGTCTCCATTTGTCATTTTTTTTTTAGATGAATGAGGTTAACTATATGTTGGATTGATTTCAGGATCAATATTAAGAAGGAGACGGTATAAAGTTGGGTCTTGGGTTTTAATGTTGATGTGAGCTTTCAGCTTCTTTTTTTTCTTCGGGTCATTGGTTTTCAAACCTTTTTTGCCCACCAGGAGCATGTGCATAACTTGTCTAGAGCTTGTTTGAGCTGATTTGCTTAGAACTTCGGGAATGTGAATGTTTATGTTAACAACTGAGTTACAAGAATTATACAGAATTTTGTAATCTGGGAGTTGTAGTTGTCTAAGATAAGATTTTGCTTAGTTGGGTATTCGAATTATAATTTATTACCTGAGTGTGTGTTTCAGTTTTCTACGTTTTTTGGAAGATATGTTGGCTGTTAATATTGTATACCACCTCAGCTTTCGTTTGTTTTGTTTTTCAGAATCAGAGAGGTTGTCTTGTGAAAGATGAGTCTCATATCTCAAAATATTCCGTCGGCTTTTAAAGCTCGCAAGACTAATAGGGAGGATACAGATGAGCCATCATTTCTGCAAGGGAATGAACACAATGGAGATGGAAAAGAATCTAGTTTAGATATTATGAGGACAAAGAAGAGAAAGAAAGCACGCAAGGATGACGATGAGAAGGTGGCAGCTGAGCAGGAAAGGGAAATGAAGAAGCTGGAAAGCTTTTTGTTTGGATCAATTTATTCCCCAGTTAAATTTGGGAAGGAGGATGAGGAGGAAGCTGGGGACACTGTGGATACAGGCTCTGCTTTATTCTTCGTGGACCGTTCTGCAAATAGTTTGGCCCCTATTTATGAAGAGGATGCAGACTTCTCGGAAGAGGAGAATAAGAAAAGGAAACCTGTCTGGGTGGATGATGAAGAGGAAAAGGCCAACATAAATATTGCTAAAGTTAACAGACTAAGGAAGCTGAGGAAGGAAGAGGATGAGAGTTTGATTTCGGGTTCAGAGTATGTGTTAAGATTGAGGGCTCAACATGCTAAGCTGAACCCAGGCACAGAATGGTCTCAACTTGATTCAAAGTTCAGGAACAATAGATATTCTGATGATGAATCATCAGATGACGAAAATGGGGTTGTAGTGGCCCGTGGCTACAAGGATGTAGAAGCTGTTGATGATCTTCTTCGTGCAAATGAGGATCTTGTTGTGAAGAGCAGTGGCAAATTGTTGCCTGGACTTCTTGAATATTCAGTACTTGTGAATGGAAATGCAGAGGAACCTTCTAAAGGTCCAATTAATTCAGTACAGTTTCATAGAAATGCTCAGTTGCTCCTCACTGCTGGGTTGGATCGAAGGCTTAGATTTTTTCAGATTGATGGAAAACGGAATACTAAAATAGAAAGCATCTTCCTTGATGATTGTCCCATTCGAAAGGCATCTTTTTTGCCTGATGGATCTCAGGTTATTATAGCTGGAAGGAGGAACTTCTTTTACAGCTTTGATTTAGTGAAGGCAAAGGTTGATAAAATAGGTCCCCTGGTTGGCAGAGAGGAAAAAAGCTTAGAAGTTTTTGAGGTTTCCCCTGATTCTAGCACAATTGCCTTTGTGGGCAATGAAGGTTATATCTTGTTGGTTTCCTCTAAAACGAAGGAATTGATTGGGACACTCAAGATGAATGGAACTGTTCGCTCTTTATCTTTTGCCAATGATGGGAAGCAATTATTGAGCTCCGGCGGTGATGGACAGGTTTACCACTGGGATCTGAGAACAGGGGCCTGCTTCCACAAGGCAGTTGATGAAGGTTGCATAAATGGTACAGCTTTGTGTACATCTCCAAATGGGACCATGTTTGCTGCTGGTTCAGACAGTGGGATTGTCAATATTTACAATAGAGAGGAGTTTTTAGGGGGAAAGAGAAAACCTATCAAGGCCATCGAGAATCTTACAACCAAAGTAGATTTTCTGAAGTTCAATAATGATGCTCAAATATTGGCTATTTGTTCAAGCATGCAGAAGAACAGCTTAAAGTTGGTACATGTTCCATCATTTACTGTATTTTCCAACTGGCCTCCTCAGAAAAAGGCCCTACATTATCCCCGATGTTTAGATTTTAGTCCTGGCGGAGGCATCATGGCTGTGGGTAATGCTGCTGGAAAAGTGTTATTGTACAAGTTGCATCATTACCATCATGCATAGGGTGAATGTTGTGAGGGGCAGTAATGGATCACTTAGAGGTAAGGTTTGCCGACATTTCCAATTAAATTGGTCTAGAAAGACAGTTTATCTTGGGATTCACTTATAGGTGCCATTCTTCAAGAGCTAGGATGGCTTCTTTTTCCAGAAAAATTGCTGCTCTAGTTTTGACCTATAATGTATTTCTTTCTTTTTTCCGGACATTGTACCAAATTTTCATTAAATTTTTTGGCAGTCCTTTTTTTGGTGGCAAGGTCTGCACATTTCATGTAATTCCCTTCTTTCCCTTCTTTCATTCCAATCAATTTTATTGCAAGAACCGCCAATGTTTTCTGCTACACCCGAATTTTATACATAACAGGGTTGGTAAGCCACGAGTCAGGTGGAAGTAGGTATGGCTTTGAATCATATTGTGTAGGTGCAAGCGACCAGTTTTTGCAAACACAAAATGTAGCCTTGTAATTTTTGTCTCTCTGCGCCTCTGAACCTCATTTGTACCCAACACAAAATGTATTATGAAGCAAATATAATTGTATGTCATTATCCTACTGTTTATACAAAGCTGGTCTGTACGTACGCAGCAAAGTTCACAGCTAAGCCACCAAAATTGTCTAAACCAACCCACCTACCACCGTCGCCACCAGCCATGGTTGTCAGTGGTACCTCAGTCTCTTCCTCTTCTAGGGTGGGAGGGTCGGGAGGGGAGAAAGCACTCTTTGAAATCCGGTCTGCTTAGAATTTCGATGCTTTTGAATTAAGCTTTCTTAGCATAATTTTACTTCAGAGTTTAACAGTACTTTCATTTTACTATTCTTTTTTCCTCAGGTTCACCATCGTCAACTTTTCTGAGTGAAGGCATGGATAGTTTGGGAAGGCCCCATAACACTTCCTGCAAACCCTATACACAAACTTGTATTCCGAAAGAAAGAAAACAAGAAAAGAAAAAAGGAAACTCGAAAAACATCTTTACCCACTCCAAATTGCATGGTTATCTTCAATAACATGAGAAAAAACCTATACATAAATGGCTAGAAAATTTCCATTATATGGAAGGTGCTTTACAAATCGACCAAAAAGAACTTACTACTGGGTGATTTTATAACCCATCGCAGGCAGCTCTACCTCCTTGCATCAAATATACCAATTTCCTTCATTTCTTTTGTTTTCACAGTTGATTTCAACCCCCCCAAAAAAAAAACTACAAGCCACTAAAATTAAACGCTAATGCAGGATCTTTCTACGCTACTGCCTCTCACGTAGCAATCTCATCAACCTCAGAATTAAATACAAAACTTGGAAATGTAGTAGTAATATCCCTGCGTAGATAAATCATAAAATTTTAAGAGATTTATGAAAGAATGACATCTGTATATGAAATAGAAAAGACTTGTTCCATACCTAAGATAGGGGAGGGTCATGATCTTTAATAATGATGGATTCTTAGAGACAAAATTGTTCCATTCATATTTGTCGATCTTCCCATCTTGATTTACATCAGCTTCCAAGAAAGTCTGGCCACAAATATGAGAAAATTAAATGCCAAATTAATGAGATGAAAATAAAATGCTGAGATATTCAGTTTCGTCTTATCAAGATACTGAAACACAAAGAATGACTCTAAAATGTATTCACTATGGATCTCCAAATCGGTACCCCAAAATGCACTTAAATTATTATATAAAAGTCTTGTGTCAATCCCAATGTACTGGCATTCATAAGCTCAAATAAGATCAGCTATCTGCATTCCAAATATTTAACTTAACCATGTTTTCATGAAGAAACAATCTGGAAGGCTTCAATGAGTTTCACAAGACAAATGCATACAGTTTTGTGCCTCATGTGCTCAGGCATGTCATTAATGACAACTTACCTTGTCAAGAATTAGCTCAATAGTCTCATCAGCCAGCTTCATTTCAGACTCACAAAGAAGTGCAATTAACATTTGTTTGACCTGCCAAAAACACAAACAATGAAGATGTGGGCAAGGAGGTTTAACATATCCATAAGTGAATAGGTTTGATTAGAAACTTGCAAATAGGTGCCACCATAGTAGAAAAGTAATATAAAAGAGAACATCTGAGAAGAAAAAAATACAGAGACCAACTCCTAACCTTTAAAAGATCTGGAAAAAAAATCTAAACAGGAAGAAATATTCAGACTAAGGAAACGGAGTTTCAGAATATTCAAGTGAAAAGAAAAAAAAAACAATATATGCTGGAACCCTTCCAATGACATTATTTTTCATGTTGCCTATGCTCTCGATCTTAGAGATTACTAAAAAGAGAAACAAAAATTCACAAGTTGCTGGAAATTCACTTGCTTTCTTTTTAGAATTCTAAACATTATCTTTCCATTTCCTCATCCTTCGAATCTTTTATAAGGTTAGTTTTATAAATTCAATTTGCTGAGCCACGCAGACTACTAAATTCACTTCCTTTTATTTTATTTTTTGAGAATTCTAATTTTTTTTTTTCAACTCCTCATCCTTCTAGTGTTTTATAAGGTTGGTTATATAAAATTCAATTTGCTGAGCCATTGATGCTCTACTTAAACCAACTTCATGATACAAAGATATTTTTTACAGTCTCGTTACCATGGTGGACATAATACTTCACCACCACCGCCATCAGTTCTAGCTATGTGAACTTCATGTTACAGTCCCATTCCCACAAGGAACATAATACTTGACCACCCCCGCAACAAGTTCTAGTTTTGCCAACTTCATGATAGAAAGATACTGGTTACATTACCACTCACACAGGAGACACAATGCTTAACCACCCGTGCAAAGGGTTATAATTAATTTTATTTCCTAAACCATTTGGCCATAACTAAAGAGGCATGCAAAGTAAGGGGGAAAAAACAGGAAGATGGACACCAACATACCTCTTGGCGCTCGATAAATCCCGTGCTATCCAAATCATAAAGCTTAAATGAAACTGCGACACAACATTAAAAAAAAGTGCAAATTTAGAACGTAGTATAGGTATGTAGAGTGCAGTGGCACATAAAAGAACCCTGCTCTTTGAAATACTTCTAAGATATTTATATGTCCTTTCAACTTACAATCAATCTTGTCCTCTAGTTGGGCATTGGGATGGAAGACATTGAGTGATTTCACAAAGTCACTGAAATCAATAACACCCTTTCGCTTCACATCAAACAGATCAAATATCTGCATGTAGAGTCGGTTCAAGACCAAAAGTCAAAAAAATTTGCAAAAGGAAATTTAGAGAGCAAAGATAAGTGATATTTATCATCAGTCATTTTTTGTAACAGTGCAAACTAGGACAATAGAATACCCAGCACCAGAGGTCCTGTGTTCGAATCCCCCTCCCCCAATATCACTTGTGTCAAAAAAAAAAAACAAAATACAAGTTTCCTAATATAAGAATTTTCAAAGGAAAGACCCACAAGTTTCATGAAATTAGTTTTATGTTGTAAAATTTTCTAATTAATTAACAGCATTATTTCAATGTTTATAAATATAAACTTAATCTGCACAAAAAACTACAAAAATAATTAAAATGATAAATTAATTACCCGATTTGCAAAGAGATTTTCTTTCTTTCTATTCTTGAAAATGGCTAGCTGAAATTCTTCCTGCATAAGAAAATTCAATGTCACGTTTTCCTAATAGATGTGTGCATATAATTCTTTGTAACATTATGTTACTATAATAGATATTTAGCAAAACATTTTAACCAGATAAGTGTATATCTTTAACATAAATATGTGTAACTTATAATTTGAAGCTCATTTTGAAGATATTTGGACCCGAATTGTAAAGGCTAAGCTCCATGTTCATCAACATATGATACACTGCCATCCGTTTTAACGCTATTGAAACTTTCAATGATATAATGTCGATACTGTTAACTGTTATCGCATAGTCAGAACACCCCAGTCCTTTTCCATCCACTTTAATAAAAACTTGATGTTCTAAAATAAAGAAGGCTGGTGAAGAGGAGAGGGACAGTTAGCATGATGGTTGCAAGGAGATACATACCTTGTTTATCAACCCATCATCAATCACAGAACTGCTAATACTCTTATATAGCTCAAAGAGTGCTTCAACTTCACTCACCGTAACTGGGGAACAAAATGATCTCATTAAAGGAAACTGAGTGAGTGAGTTTGCATGTGTGCGTTAGAGAGAGACAAAGAGATGAAATGATGAGTTTAACTGATATGTCTTGTAAAAGAAAATTCTGAGATAAAGGAAGATAATTTTTTTTCAAAGCCCTTGATTATCCTTTGAGGCCATAATTGGGTCTATAACCCATCAAAGCTAACACCAGTTAATTGAGAAGAGAATTTAAAGGTTCATCTCAAGAGAACTTCTATTATTCTCCCATCTTTTGGGTTTTAATAGGAGCCAAAGCCCAATTCCTATAAACAAGAACTCTGAAGTAACATGAGATCAACTGGTCTTACAATTCAGAAAAACATAGATTTTTTTATTATTTTATATTGGCTGAGACAACTGAAACAAGTAGGAGAACCTGATAATAATTAGTCAAGATTAACAAACTATATATAGGGATTTCATTGTTAACCATAGATTAAAATCAATGCTGGTTGGATGGGTCAGCTATCATATCCAGAATTACCAGAGACTCGGGGACGTAAAAACATTTAGTCATCATGAGTCAAAAGGAGAAGTGCCTAGAACATCATGATAGGAAAAATGCAAAACCATTAACAAAACAGTGAACTTACAAGCTGTTTGCGAAGCAAGGCTCACTGGATCCTCGTGTCCAGGAAACTGCCGCCTTGCTTTAGAACTAAAACAACCCATTTAGAGCATTTATCCCACGCCAAAGGTCAGTTTACCCTCCCCTCCCCAGGCCTTAGGCCTCCTTTGTACCCAAAAAGAAAAACGGCATATTAGTGAAGAAGACAAAGCAGTAATTCTGGAATAACGCTTAGCATCACTAAAATACATCATCAAGCCCATCTTAACATTGCATCTACAGATACAAATTCAAGCATTGCCATGCAAAAATAATTAGTAAATAAAAGAATCCCATAATTACATTGCTGGACTTAATTTGTAGCTCTAAAAAGTAAAAAAAATCAAATGCACAAGGAATAATTAAAACCATCCATCAATTTGTTTAAAAAAAACATTGACAACCAGAATTGAACTTATAACAGCCATCCAATACCTAAAAAAAATTACTATCTAACTGCTTGGAAAATAGATTAGGAAGAGAAAAATAAAGAAAGGTATAAATTATTTCACATACTAAGATTCAAAAATGTCAAGCTCCATTTTTCTCTTAAATTCCTAAAAGAACTAAAGAAAAATAAATCATATTCCTTTTTCTTCTTAAAATATCAACCCAATGAAATAGTTCGATTGGACATAGATAAGCTCTAAGCAACAAATTAAGTAGTTAACATAGAATCGAACAAATGATTTGGTAGAGTTCATATCATTTTAGAGGTCCCAGTGAATGACATATCCTAGAATAAAAATTTTAATTTTCCTCACTCATCTTTTCTCCTCCTTTAATTTCCCAGCAACCAAACATAAAATTCCAAGAAAAACATCAAAACCAAAACCCAGATCACAAAACCCCCTGCATATCACAAAAATGAGCACTTTCTCAAAAACACGCCACAAAAACCAAAACTACATCATACCCACAAAAATTTAACCCAAAAGGGACCAACTTTATCGCACAGTTTAAAGAAAAGCAATGTAAAAGAGACTTACCGACCAAGAAATTGGCCGGAAAACTACTGCTCCGCTACCAATTTTGGAGAGGGAAATGCTTTTATATAGAATCAGAGAGGCAACGAACTGGAACAGAGGCAGAAAAACAGAACTGGGTTTATTGGGGAAGACAAATAAGTGTATTTGGAGATGTAAATCGAACGGCTGAGGTTGATCTTGATCTCGAAGTTCTCGAGAAATTCACGCTTATTTGTCTAAAATAGGAGAAATTAAAATTCCACCTAATAGAGCTGCTGGCGAACTTAGAAACAAAAGCCACAACAAGGGAAATAAATAAGTAGCAGGAGGAGGGAGGAGGACAGTCCAGGGCACGTCGGGTTAGAGCGCGTGATGGGAATTGGACTTCGCGGTTTGGGTTTTTTCTTTTTTTTCAAGGGGTTTTGGTGTCTGGTTTGCAAATCAGAATATTCCGATTATGAAATTTAAGATACTTTAAGCTCTGCAGCCAATTTTTTATATATATAATCAAATCTTTTTAACCTATTTGGATAGTTATGATAAGTACTAAGATTTTCCAACTAAATCTATCCAAGTATAGCTATTTATTTTTAATTTTTATACTAAAGAAATCCATATCTACTAAAGCCCGAAAGAGAAAGATATAAAAATCAGCAAAGAAATCAATAACTTCACGTTATTACCTAAAACGAATTTATCCCAGGTGTTATTATATTATTGATCAAAAATAGTAAAAAGTGATATCCCTATTGTATGAGAATTTCTCTCATGAGGCTAAGCCCATGTCTAAATATTCGTAGGGTATTCAATTGAGTAAAGTCCATAAAAATTTAGATGTATTCAATCAAGACTTGTAATAATTGTCACCGTATGTTAAACAATAATGATCATATACTGACAACTATACGTGTTAAACATTTTTGCTTTCTTAAAGAAATAGAAATTTCATTTAAAACCAAATATCGAGAAACATGTGCAGCATATAAAGAAAATGTTACTAACATAATTAGTGGTGGTTGCGGTTCGGTAACTGCGAATTTTTGCTCAAACCGCAAACCGACTGCTTTTTGCGGTTTATTACCGTGAATTAGTGGTTTAAAACCGCAAGTTCTTTTTGTGTCATAAAAATCCAATCTTCCACATTTTAAGCCTAGTTTTGATGTTTCTTTTGAAGCCTTTTAAGTTCGAGCATACTTTAACCCAAAAATATAAATTAACAACCTAAAGAAATAAATTCACAACCTCAACTTCTCAAGCATGTATAAATTCACAACCTAAACTTCTCAAGTATATATAAATTCACAACCTCCTCAACTTCTCAAGCATTCACAACCTAAAGAAAATTAAAGTTACAATTCCAAGCATTCCAATTAAAGTTAAACTTCTCAAGCGTTCACAACCTCAACTTCTCAAGTATTCCAATTCCAAATCCTTTAAAAGTTACAAACCAAAAGGAAAATGCAATGCAAAATGAATTAAAGTTACAACTCAAAGGAAAAATCCAATTCAAAGTTAATTAAAGTTACAAACTAAAAGGAAAATGCAATGCACCAATGTTACAAACTCAAGTGTCGGTGGTGATGAGTGGATTTGAAGGAACCCGTTGTGTTATTTGAGCACCAATGCTATCTACAAATAAAACAACATAAGTTTAGTACATTTTATTATAAGAAGAAGCATAAATAAACTAATAGAAAATTAGTGAAACACCCAATTCTAGACATTAAACTATAATAAAACCCTAGACTATTTAAAACATATAAACACACCCAAAATAAACCCAAAAACCAACAG